TTTTTTTTTTTTTTTTTGGCATAGATAAATGCCCTGAAAATTTGCAGATGTGTAGTTCACATAATACAAAACCCACTAATAAAGTTTCAAAAAATAATAAAATTGTTTAGACCCCGAACTAAAGTGAAAACAAAAAGTAAAAAGTGAAAAAAAACGTGGGCGAGCACGTTTTGACACCGCCATCTTTGGAGGTTTTTAATTCTTATTTGGCTAAGCCAAATGACTTGAAAAGTTATAGCCATGTACCTCACGTCATAGAGAACTCATAAAAAAAATGTCAGAAAAAAATATATATAATTTTAGGCCCCGAAATCATTTTTGGCGGGGGCCGAACGCCGTCGGGTTCAGACCCCGTACGGGACCCCGAACGCCCGAACGTACGGAGGTCCGCCCGGCTGGTAACCCTGATTGTTATTATTATTATTAAAGCTAAGGCTGCTAAGCTATATTCTGCTCTCAATTTCACCTCTCACGACCTACCTAGCACTACTACTCAGCCTATACAGGGGACCCCTGCAAGCATGGCTACCTCTCACAATCAAGGGGGGGTGCATGTTGGGCCCCACCCTAGGCGGCAGTGGTCGGGAGGGTGAAGGGTGGGGCTGCCGGTGAGGGGGGCCCAGTTAGCGCCAAGACCGAGCATTTTGGGGTTAGCAGTACTTAGTACTGGCGATGGAGGAAAAATCACAGGCGTTGGGGTACCACAGAGAACCGTTACCCTACACAGAAGAAAATGGCCTACTGTAGGCTCAGTAGGGTGTAGTACCGCTGTACCCAATTTCAGATCTGTTGTGGCACACAGAGAGGGGGTCTGTGTATCACACATGGGTTAGTGTGCTTCCGGGTTCGTGCTATTAATAGCACGTACCGGTGTCTATTAATACTTGGGTCTGTGTATCACACATGGGTCAGTGTGCTTCTGGGTTCGTGCTATTAATACACCCTGTCGAATGAGTCAAACCTTTGCTTGCAGATTCGGGTCTAGTGATCAGGCCAACGACCAGAGTGGCCTTTGGTTTTCCCTCGTAGGTGTCCATCCACCAAATCGAATCGAATCAATTCAAATTTCAAACCAAATCAGATCAGATCAGATCAGATCGGATCAGATCAGATCAGATCAGATCAAAATTCATCAATTTTTTCACTCCTGCTTTGTGTTATAATCAAAACAGTTTGAAACAAAAATTAACAGTTTGTCTCTACTGACTACTGGGCAAGAGCAGCTGCTCTGTGGAACTACCTGTTCTCTTCTCCATTCCCCGAGCACCCAGTCCAACTGCTCCTATGGACCAACACTCCTACTAACTTTAACAAGTCAGAGAGCATCTGGTACGGCATGATTCGAAAGGCGACACTCTGGGTCATATGGAAGGAAAGATGCAGCAGAACATTGGACAACTCCAGCAATTCATGCGAAAAGGTATGGGTGACAACCAAATTTTTAATGGAGACTGAAGTCTTCTCTCAATGGAAAAAAGTCAGGATTSAAGCTCAGGAAAATCAGGAGAAGCAGCATGAGATTCTGGCAAAATTCACGAAAGTATGGCTGGTCAATGGAAAGGTGGCGTGTATTCAAGGTCATTTCCTCAGGTGGAAAGACTGGCATAACTCCTGTCCACTTCAGAGAGCACAGGGCACAGGACAGTCAAATCCCACAGCCTCAGGACCTGAGCGCCACATAGCTCGGTCATACGAACATGAGTACATGTATGAACATCAATGCTGTCCAGACGGAAGGAAGGGCGAGGGTGCTCCATAGAGCTTCTGGCGAATAACTACAGCTGAGGGATCAGGGGCCAGGGTTTAGACGAGCAAGGCAAACAGGGATCAGAATGGTAGGGATGTCATGAAGCACATGGGCAGAGTCTGAATTTAGACAGAAGTGGCAGTGTTTGTAGCTTCCAGGACTTTCTTGCCATCCATGTTTATCTGACAGGTTATTACAGTAGACCTGAGAGGAAAGGGAGAAGCAGGGCAAGCTGACAGTCAATCCTCCATGATGCTGGAGTAATCAATGCTGATCAGGGTTCCTTCGGCCAGACAGAAGGAAGCGTGCGGGTGTTCAGTATGTAATTTTGTTTTCTGACTTGCTGGTGGAATAGGAACCGGACTGATGCTCCCCAGAACGGAAATTGAGCCGGGACCATAAGGACCTGTTTATTTTTAAAAAAAAAAAAAAAAAAAACACAGTTTGTTTGAGGGTCGCAGCAGCTTCGGTGTCCCTGTGCAACTCCACTTCGCTGTGAAATCGATCCACAGTTTGTCTGAGGATTTACGGCGGCGGCTTTGGTGTCTGTGTGTGCTACTGCATTTCGTTGTGGAATTGATCAACGGTTTGTCTGAGGGTCATGGCGGCTTTGGTGTCTCTGTGCCGCTCCATATTGGATTGTTTCTGTCGTGCAGATCAACAGAGCTGAGGGAAGGATTGAGAAGTTTGCGATGCGGAAAGCGTTTGATGACAAGGAGAAACCGTACCTCCCACAGGTGATCCCACCTCTCTGAGTGAGCACTCCCTTTTTTTGTGTTCTTTTTTTTTCAGATTGGCACTGTTTCTCATTTCTGCGTGCCATCCTTGTGCAGCAGCCATGCTAATCTTCTCTCTCTCTCTCTGTATCGTCCCAATTTTAACGGATGTTCCAAAGGGACAACTTGGGGGGGTGGAGGGGGGGTCAGAAGACTCAGAACTCGTTTTGCAGAACCAGTAAGAGGGGGTACTTGACGAAGTGGATTATTTAATTTATTTCCGTGTCAAGGGGTATTGCCTCTTATTTCTCTACAAGCTGGTGAGGATGGGTCATCGGTTCCATTCTCTGCTTTCGGGTCTTGTGGAAATTCCACTTCAAAAGAGACTGACATCATCCGACATGAATTGATGCTTAAAGCACCAGTACATGACAGCTATCGGCCGCGGACCCCTTTGGAGGCAGCCTGCCACCGATTCATTTTATCGACGGCGCTTGGCCGCCTCAATTTCAGGAGAGGCTCAAAACAGGTTCTTCTCCAGTTGCCTGGGGGCATGTACTGGTGGTTTAAGGATGATCACGAGTACGGCGAACCCCATTTGTCGAACCCGGTTTTCCACCAACCCTGGATTTCCCTGCCGGATTGGTCGGGCCTACAAGGTCACAGCGAGGAGGCACAACCATCTGCATTCAGTGTGTGCCAATTCTATTTTCATGGGCAATTCATCATTCTCAATTGTTTCCCTCACCAAATATTTGTCCCTGACACAGTGGAACACACCCTACACCATACCCTACACCATACCCTACACCATACCCTACACCATACCCTACACCATTGAGTTTTACGGTTTTACCTCACCAAATATTTATCCCATAACTTTTTGTCAAAGGAGATGAGACTTGAGAGCTCCCGTAGTTGGGTCCTACGAAGTTTTGTGCTTCTTCACCCCCTCCGCCCCACGTGTGCCCGCCTTCAACGCCTTGCGCTCAGTGGGCTGAAGCTGACTGCGGCCTCTGTGGGCATCGATGAATGTGTCACGAAACCCGTGGCATACAGGTGATTTAAAGATTTAAAAGTCAAAAACGACGTTGCCGGACCCCCCCCCCTGCGCCCTGGAGGTACACTTATGCAGTCACAGCATGTGCTGCTGCAAATGCTTATCCTTTACGAATGCACGGTACCGCTGAGGTTCACTGATTTTTTATTTTTGTTTTTTTGGACTGTATCTTGATTAATGTGTGTCGTCATTGCGCAGGGGCCATGCGAATCTGCTTTGTATCTTTCCAATGTGGATGGTTGTCCCGAAGGACACCATTGAGGTCCACTGAGACCCCACTGATACCACTGAGAAAAACACGGTACTGCTGGAACCCACTGAAACCGGCTTTACCGAGTCCCACCAGTTCCCAGTACCACGAATCATATTATAGCCCATGGGCCATGCGGACAAATGTATGGGTTTAAGCAAGGCGGTTTAAAGCACCAGTACACCACATTCCGGCCCGCGGGTGTCAGCACAAAAACTGCACCACTTCAGAGGCCGCCGATTTTTTTTTTTCCAACGGCGGGCCTGGCCGCGCGGCGCCCCCGAGTTTCGCTTGTGGCAACAAAAACTTTCTGCAAGGTTGGGGCCGTGTACTACTTGCGGTTTAAGCTAAACCCGAAGACTGATCAGTACTCATACTGGCTTTGTACTATGAGACGACGAGTCCGATACTGCTTGCCACCAGTTTATGTTCGCGTATTGAATATACCAGGTCCTCGTAGGTACGAACCCCGAATATGGGGGCTCGCCTAGGTTAGACCTTGGCCTCGCAGATTTGAACTTAGAAATTATCAAGAAACATCTGTGAGGACACTGTATTGACTGGGCCTGCCTACCCAGCACTGGTACCTGTGACTGAAGTATGTGACGGTCATCCGCTGGACTGGTGGACGTCCACAACGTAGAATAGAAGCCCGAGTGCTCGGATGGTGGGAGCCGGGGTTCAGCACTTGGGGGGGGGGG